TGAATTGGCGCTATAGAAATAAACTCAACTGAATTCTAAACACAGTAAAAGAATAATTTAAACGGCAGACATTAGCAAAGAGAGAAACAGACAACAGAAAGCTGAATTCTCAAAGCCAGGGTCTCATGATGCCCTCTGTCCCTTTTACAGACAAACACAATGTAGTGCTTGGTAGTGACAGGACTCCAGAAAAATTGTTCATTTGTTTTTGTGTGTGAATAGACAAGCACTTGTATGTCATGGAAAACAAAGAACAGAACAGCGTTGGTTGTTTTAATTCACTCTGGGCTTTATCCACAGCACATTTGAACACTTAGTAGTACTTACTGTCCCCCTCCTTGTTGAGCTCGGATGGACTCCCAGCGTGGGTGAAGGTGCTGTTTTGTGGTTTTAAGGTGGTGTTTGGGTTGGCCGTAGTGGATCCTGAGCTAGACTGAGAAGTATTATTGGAAGGCTGAGGAGTGGTGGTCCCCTGAGACGTGTTGCTGCTGGATGTTGGTGTTGAGGTCGAATTGGACCCAGGGCCGGCGGCTGTAGCCGTCACTGTAGGTACGGTTGTTGGGACAGAAGTGGTGGAGGACGTTACATTCTGGGTGGTGGCATTGGATGGCATGGAAGGTGTGGAAGAGTTGTCTAGAGTTTCGCTGTGATTTAACGCAGGTTTATCGGTGTGTGGGACGGTTACGGGGGAAGTGTTCATCACATCGGTGATGTTGGTTCCAGTTTCATTGGTTTTGGTGAAGGCAGAGGGCGTCGTTAACGGCGTCAGAGTGGTGCTTTCATTCTTGTACGGAGCAGGTGACAGCACTTCAGTGTCGTTAGAAGCTGCAGAAATAAAAAAAAAAAAAACAATGTCATTGATCAGTGAGAGCTGTTTGATTATAAAACACTTTTTTTTATACAGAGTGATATGGTGGGTTAAAATACATAAAATATCTCCTTATCTTTTCATTTTCAGCCTTACAGACTGAGTGTTTTTCACCTTTGAGGTCTTTTTGTCGACTTCGTTCTTAATTCAAATGCAAAGATGGTCAAGATGAAATCAGTGAGAGGAAGAGAGCACAAGAAATCCCTCTTAGGTAGGACTAGTCAACGAGATTGGTGATGTTCACCATAATAGGCCAACTACATCACTGGTTTGCATAGATTAATAGGTTTTAAAATTTTTATTTCTTCAAACTTGATTCTCATGCATCATTACTGTGGTAAAAAAATCCAAGTGTGAGTAACTCCACCCTAAATACTCAAAGTAAAAGAGCTTGAGCATCAAAAGGCTTATCCAATAGTGAAGGTATGAAACTTAAATTTATATCCAAGAAGTTTTTATATCATCTAAGGAACATTTCCTAATTTGCATAGGAACTGATTTATTTTGTCATAAAGATATTAATAAAGAATTGAACATTTTTTTTCTAATAACCGTATGATTAGATAATTTCAAATGGTCGTATTTGTTAAACATGAAATTCTAAAAACCAAGGTGAAAACTCAGCAAAAAAAAAGAGAAACGAATCACATAAAAACTAAAATTTCACAGGTAAAAACAGTTCTCTAAAACTGAGCACTTTTTTTTTTGGTTGTAAATAAACATACTTTATATGTTGAAGCATTACATTAAGGGCTGCAAATATTAAGCAGTTAAAATAAATAAAAGAAAAACCTACTTAGAGCTGTAATTTGATGAAAATTATGAACATATATATAAATATTTTCCATTTAAGATAAAAACAGTTTTTATCTGTCAATATGCTCTATCCAGAACTCCTCAAGTGAAAAGTTTTACTTTCACCTGATTAAATTCTGTAAAAAAATCTTTAAGGAACCTTTTGCTAATTATTAATCGAAGAAATAATCAATTAGTAAAATGATCATCAGTTGGAGCCCTAATGACACCTTATCTGATTGCGATATGGGATCAATAACCTGCGTGTGTATTTCAGTAGCTCTTCCGATCAGTTTTACTTCATTTCATCTTGATCCCACCTAATTGTGAAGATTATGTTTATAAACTCAGATAGTAGTAAAATCTATCATGCACTGGACCTCTTTAAGGTCCGTTTTTAATTAATTGGATGAAAATCGGTGGTTGTGGAAAAAGATGAGTTTGATCAGGACAACAAGAAGGTATGAGAAATGGAGTTGGTGGAAGGAGATGACTCAGGCTGAGATTAGAATGGGTCGGTGAGGGACGACGATGAAGAGAGCACAAGTTAATGAGCATTACTAAAACAACTATAAACTGCTTCGGTTTGAAAGGTGACCTTTGACCCTCGACTCTAAACATATTCTTGTGTAAGATTAAGAAATTCAACAGGACTGATCTTAACATGAACAGGAAAAGTATTTTATTACAGTTTGATGATCTGTAACTCAGCTATATGCTAGGATGTGATAGAGACACAGTGAAGGTGGTGGAAGACAGGACAACTTGAGCAAAACTAAGATGGACAATGTCTCCCACTCTGAATATGAAGCTGTCGCATAACTAAAGAGCTCCTCCAGTGAAAAACTGCTGGATCCTGAAGAACACTAAGTAAGGTTTCCACTAGAGCTGGGTATTTTCGCCAAAGTCCTGAATCGATTCGATTTTGATTCGTCCAGTTCTAAATTGATTAATTTCGATTCGATCTGTTTTTACAATAATGAAAGTGGTTCAACTGTGTTTCAAAAGACTCATGTATTTTATTTTTTCCTGTCACATTAAACACAAAGTGCAAACTTGTAAATCAGAAATTTTAAACATGAAAAGTGAACAAAACTGTCTAATAATTGCAAACTTGTTTGTGAAAAGTGAAAAAGTGAAGCTTCACTCGAGCGAGCAGACGTGACACAGCAGACATTAATGAGCTGCAATATCTCCGCTGCACAAACCATATTTGCAGCGTTGTCTGTAACTACAGGGTGTTTGCTGGTCAGCCTCCATTTGTTAATGTCTTCAATCAACCTATTGGCTATATTTGCAACTTTCTGGCTTAAAGTAATCTTGAGTGCATCTTTCCTGCTCATTCGAATGTGAACGTCACGCGCATCACTATGAAAATAATCGATCTCATTCCCTAGATATTGATTTTGCAAAATGTAAAGGAATCGATTCAAAATTGATTAAATCAATTTTTTTCACCCAGCCCTAGTTTCCACAGATCCTTCCTCCCAGCAGCTTTTAAAACATCATTCTTCAAACAATCCCACCAAGTTAAGAACATCACTGATGTTAATATCAGTTTTTTCCATATCCATAATAAATTGTTGAAATAATAATTGAAGTAATAAATTTCTACACTTTTAAATCATTTGTAAATTTTTGTTACTTGTTGCTGATCCATCTGAATGTCCCTACTGTCATAGACTGATTCTATTCACTAATATAATTACATTTCAGAATATATCTTAAACAACTGTCCAGACATAATTTGGTTGTCATATCTTTATGTTCCAACATGTGAAATGTTGTTTTATTTTGCCTCAGACTTAATATACAATTAACGATACTAAAAAAGTAGTAAAGGAAGGCAAACATTGCTCCTGATCAACACACTTAAAATAACAATTAGGATGAGAGAAGCAGCTTGGAGCGGGCGATAGCTCAGGGGGATGAAATCTGATGACAATTATTTCACGTCCTCCTAAAATATGACCTTAATGGAAGCCTTGGTTCAGGCAGCCAATGCTGGAAGTGATTTAATCCATTTATATTGGTAAATAAGCAAACCAATACAGTTTGGTCGCTTTGCTACTTTGGCAGCCAAGGCCAAAGCTTGAACCAATGATCCTTCGATTGAAGGGAAAACTCCTTCGTCAAACATCATTATCAAGGCTAAAATCATCTGGAATTTAATACTTAAGTGCCTTTAGATGATTTGTTTGAATTGGCGCTATAGAAATAAACTGAATTGAATTAACCTCAATAAAGCAATAGCATCGTTTATCGTCACTAGGAGGCAAGGAACTGTGCTAGCGTGGTGTGTTACGGTTAACTAATCCAAGCTTGGTCCAAACTCAGCACAGATCCCTTTTCAGAGGGTAGTGTAAATGGGG